TTAAATATCTGTTGTTACATGTTTGCGTGTAAAGGGCTGGAAGTAATTACATCTACTCCTGTTACTGTAATGAGTGGCTTATAGGTCAGTAGAGTTATTAGGTAAAGTTGAGGAGAGTTCAGTTAGTGAAGGAGCCATCTCTTTTTGGCCCCGCAGCTTTACTCTCACAGCTCTCATCAATTAGCAACAAGCTGCAAAAGAAGCTCTAGAAACCCCACTGTACACTACCCGCTCAGCACCAAACAGTTGGTGAACATAGTGGAGCGTTTAAGCAGCTAAAAAGCCAAATATTTCCCTCGGGAATTACAGAGCAAAGCTAAAAGATGCATAAATGTTGGACTCATCAAGTGGCCAGAAACAAGACTACAAATTAATGTTGATCTGTGTCTGAAGTGGCCCAAGACAATCAGTAAATGCAGGTTAAAGTAAAAGAAAGTGGGTAAACAGGCGGTTATTTGAAAGTAAAATGCTTATTTAAGTTTAGTTATACTGTCAATAGTCAATAGCCAGTATTCAGTTACAACTGATGCAAGTATTTAATTGTCCTGGTATTCTTGCTGCTGTTAATGGTGAAAAGCCTCTTAAGGCCATCGTATAATGGGACACTAAACCACAAACGTTTCCACTGTTGGCAACAAAACACAGTTTTCCTCCTCAGTGAAAGAGAAAACTATGAGACACATGTATCAGTTAAATCAAAGGTGTAAAGCAGGGATGTCTGCCTGGGGGCCATTTCTGGCTCATGATGTAAAACATATAATATAATCTGACTGTAAGTAGTTTCATAGCAATTTCAATTGCCCCTCCATATACAATTATGTTTCAGGTCAAAGGTTCATGCAAACAGTTGATAAGACGAGAGCAGGTTTCAGGCCTTCATTTGTTGTTTGGCTTTGAACAACAAAGATGATGTAAAAATGTATAGAAACATGTTGTTAAGTATGACGTTAGAAATGGAAATCTTTTCAGGATATTGTGCTTTCTTGCAGCGAATATGAGTTTTAGACTAATGGTGTAAAGGAATCACATTTGTAGGCAGGTTTTACTGCCTGTTTGTTTAGTTGCTGTTGCGAAAGCAGCAACATAACCCTAAACACTTACCCTTATCTTCACACTTCTAATCTATTAATCGTTATTTTCATGTCTGGACAGGAAAAGAAGGTTTTCTTTCGACGTAGAGGCCAAACAGAAAATATGATCGCTGGGTGGATTGAAGCTTTAATTTGTGTGTCCAGGCTCATTTAAGCATGAAACTGATCCATGTAGAGTCCTGGCATTGATATCACTGCCGTGCAGGGAAAAACAAGAACTGCCAGTTGCTTTGTTTAACAAAGTTGAACGATTGCATAAGAAAAATCCCCTCTCAAAACCTTCAAAAATTATTGGATTATCTCAAAGATCTTATGTTACATAGTCAAACCCGAGGCAGTTGTCCCAAAATGTTGACATTTACGAGGTAAAAAGTTTTATTTTGATTAATTAGAAAACAAATATGGACGTCTACAGCACTAAAAGCAGTAGTCCAGCTCATAATAAATGAATCATTGTGTCTTGTTGTACATAGTTTGGACTGTAGGTGGCGGTGTAGTCAATGAAGTTCAGCCTGCCGTCCTGACATGGACATCCTGGTTCAACAGTGTGTGTTACTGCCTGGGTGTGCGTCGCCTGTTCATCATCCATCCTGTTATTTAAGCCGACAATCAGAGTCAGCATACGAGTTTAAGGACATGAGATACATCGGGATGTACAACGCCACTCGTGACCCTTTATGACCTGGAAATGTATGGCGGTGTTACAGGAAGTGAGGAGGATCAAAGATGAGGAGGAGGAGGAGGAGGAGAAGATGAGAGGAGAATAAGCTGACACACACACACAGAGAGAGAGAGAGAGACACTGGTGTATGATATCCATGAGATCAATGGAAAATGACACGCCGAGGGGTCAAAGGTCAAGACTATTTCTACTGTAATAAGCACATTTGCTTTTTTATGCAACAGATAAAACAGGAATACTGACAAATCATCAGTCTGATCATTTAAATATAAAACCTTTTGTATTGTATTGTATCTAAGTCAATGAAGTGAGGCTGAAGATCTGTGTTTTATTATTATTATTATGATTTTTGTTTATTTATTTACTTAATTTACTACATAAAACTAAATTAATTAGCTTTTAATCAACATTTACAGACCATTTTCATACCTGGCTGCCCAGATATTTAATTAAAATTATTATTTAGTATTTCTGGGTTGGATTCAGATTTCTGGACAAATAATTTAAATGATTTACAACAAGTTTTAGGATGCTTTTAATAAGGAAATTCTTGTGCTCTTGTGTGGGAAAGTGTTGAAAACAAACTTCCAAAAGAGGAGAAATGTGGAATTTATAACATAAAAGCTTCTATTAGTTACATGTCTTGACCGTGAGCCAATTTAAAAGATGACCAGTTTTGACCTTTTGTGGTTCTTTTGGCAGAGTTTAATTTACCACAGATGTGTGTCTAACTGAGGGCAGGAAGATATTTTAAATCGAGGCAGAAATGGGGAAAAAAAAAAAAAAAAGATATTATTAGTGACAGGAAATTATTCTTCCACACTGGAAATCAATCGGCTATTATTGCTGCCTGAAAGCTCAAATCTGATAAAATACCAGCGTAAACGAGTTCGTCCTGGAGATCATTTTACAGGTTTCTGTTCACTTCTGTTTGTTTTAATGGAGCTTTAACCATGAAACATTTTAATTAATTAATAAATTATATGTTTCTATCATGGTCTGTCTATGGAAGGCAAATAAAGTTACACTGTTGTTGTTGTTGTTGTTCTCATTTTGACCACAAGAAGCTGAAGTGCTGTTCTAAACGGGACTAAAAGCATTCATGTTTTCTTCAAGGGTGAGTTTTTTTTTTAATGCGCTATAAACACTCTTAATGTTTGCAGCTTATGTAATTGTGTCTTTCTTTAGACTATAAATGAATATTAATCTGTGCTTTAGAGAAAATACAACTCACCTTAAAGAAAACCTGAATGATCTTAGTCCTGTTTATAACATAGTAGTGCTGCAACACTTAAAACAAGTTTAAAATATTATTGTTTTAACAGAAAAATGAATAACTTACAAAACATACACGTACAAAATGAAATAACAACAAATAAAAAACAACTTAAAAATGCCAGTTTTTGCAGGTTAATTTAAAGAAAATGTTTGTGATTTAAAAACATTTCACTTGCCTTTCCAGCCTTCCGTACATGTGCTGAGCCCAAACTCTGTTATCCAACCATCCTTCATTGATAAATAAATGATAAAATCATAAATAAAATCACCAGAATCTGTTTGGATTTAAACATCAATGTGTGCCAGACGGTCTGAAGTTGACAGCTAAACTAAATGTAATATTTTTATGACATTTTTAAGTGGGATGCAAGTTAGTTTAAAAGGAATCTCAAGAACAGGCTGTTAAACCTCTTTGCTGTCTGTTCCTCTGGTTCTCATTTGTTTTTGTTTAGTCTTCCTCTGTGTCACTGCTCTGTCTTCAGAGGTCTGTTTATTTGTAATACTTTCCCCCTGTGCAGCAACTGTGCAGTCATTTTGGATTTGTTTGTCTTCCCATTATTACCTCCTACCATATTAGATAATCAGGGCCATGAAATCTGAAATCTGAAATCTGTCGGGGGGGCGGGTGGGGCGGGGGTGGGTTCACCAGAGAGGTCAAAAGGTTGCAGTGTCATCCATTTTAGCTGCTGTTGTTTTGGGCTCCACAGCTGGACTGCTGACAGACATTTTCCAGGCTTGTTTTCTCTCTCTCTCTCTCACACACACACACACACACACACACACACACACACACACACACACACACACACACACACACACACACACACACACACACGACTCTGCACAGCTGTTGAATTGCAGGCTGGAATTTTTCTGCAGGATCACTTTTATTGATTTCTACATACCAACAGCAACAACTCTCACTCTCAGTTCAGCCAGGTGCTGCGAATGTCCGTCATTTCCCCAGATTATTATATTAATCCCTCCAAAAATGCAAAATTTCCTCGTGTAAATGTGTATGATAGTACTGGAACAGCCTTAAATTAAAGCAGCAACAAGGAGCATTTATGTTGCGTTGATTCTGGCGCCCCCTGTGGACAAAAGCAGTAGTGTTAAAAACTCCTTGTAGTAGGTTTAAACATCACATTGTCAAAAACATGTCAGGTTTATATTCACTTTAATTCAATTTCAGCTCAATGTTTCGGTTCAATCTCACAACTGTCATAGCCGCAGCAGCTGTTTTCAGTTTAAAAAGTTCTGATAAACCCACTGTACTGTGTACGGTACCTGTAGTAGAACATAGTGGAGCATTTAAAAAGCAAAAATATGTCTTTTTAAGGAGTTGGTGAAAACAGACAAGTTGCAACTGTTTGAACAGATTTGCCTTTTTAATCCCCTTTTATAAAGTGATAATATGTCAAACATTTTATTTTACAGTTTATATGTTAAACTAAATCTGTTAATTCTGCTTTAAAATTATATTTTAGTGTTTTTAAAGTGTATCAGTACAAGCAAATGCAAAATCAGATTTCTGTATTTAGAGTTTGAAAATACTTACTGTGTATATCTACAGGTTATAACTTGTCTGTCTTGTTTTTTTTTTTTTTTTTTATATCTGGAAATCAGTTTGACACTTAGATAAGACATCAGAGAAATGCTCTTAGTTTGAAGTCCTCTTCTTCATCTTTTCCTGTCTTCCAATTAAACTTCTTTTCCTCAGTCTGAGTTTCTTCCTCTCTCTCTCGTCTCTCTCTCTCCTGTCTGTCCTTTTTATAGAGCTTTTATCCTGTTGTTTTAATCCTCCTCCCTCCCTCCCTCCCTCCTTACCTCTCTTTCTCCATTCCCTCTTTCTCTCCCTCTCAACCTCCTCCTCCACCTTTCTTACTTCCTCGTCTATCCCTCCCTTCTATCTTTATACCTCCTTCTGTACCTTTCTCTCCTTCCTCACTTCCTCTTCCCACTCCTCTACCTGCTCCTTCTCTCATTATTAGCTTCCTCCTCTTCCTCCTTTTCTCATTCTATACCCTTCTCTCACTTGCTTTCTTCCCTCTTTACTTGTCCTACTTTACCTCCTTCTACCTCTCCTCTTATTTTTCACCTTTCTCTGCTTCTCTTCCTTATTTTCTCATTTCCTAAATCCTTCTCCCCTGTGTTTACTCCTTTTCTTGCACCTTCTTTCCTTCCTTATCTCCTTTTTTATATCTGCCTCTTTTCCTTCTTTCTTACTCCCTATTTCCTTCATTATCCTCTCCCATTTTACCTCCTTTCTTGCTCCCCACCTCCTCCTTTCCTCCCCTATATCTCCTAATTTCCCTCCTGTATTCTCTTTTCTTTCTTCATTTTCTCTTTCTCTCCCTTCTTTTTCCCTTCTCTCCTTCCCCGACTAATTTCCTCACTTTCTACATCCTATTTTCCTTTCCTTATTACCTCATTATGCTCTCTACCCTACGTATTTCCTTCTGTACCTCCTTCTTTCCATCCTATAGCTCCTTCACTCCATCTCTGCTTTCCTACCTACATTCCCGTCCTACCTCCTTATATGCCGTATTTACTCCTTTTCTTGCTCCTTTTTACCTTTCTTATTCCTGCTTTCCTCCTTCCCTCCCTCCTTACTTCCTCTCTCTTCCCTCCACCAGTTTTTTCTCTGCTTTCTTTCCTTTCATGGCTTCCTATCTTTCTTCCTATCTCCTCTCTCCTTTTCTTCCATCCTTTTCCCGATCCCTCTCCACTTCCTACCTCCTTATAGTCATCTTTACCTCATCCTCTCCCTCATTCTTTCCTCTTCATGCTCTCTGACTGCCTATCTCCTTCTCTCCCTCTCTTTCTTCCTCAACTCTTCCTCTAGCTCTTCCCTCCTTCCTATTCCCTCCTCCTATAACATTTCCCCTCCCTCCCTCCCTTCTCTCCTCCCCTCGCTGCTCTTGTGTTTATGTTCTCGGCTCCTGGAAGTCAAGTCAGTATGCGCCACTCCTCCTCCTCCTCCTCTTCTCTTAATCTCACTCACTTCTCAGCCCTCCCTCCCTCTCTCTCTGTCTCTCTCCCTCTCTCTCTTATTTACACTTCAGCTCACTCGCTCACTTGCTACTTTAACTCAGAGCTGCTGAGATGCATTTGAGTGTCTGATCAAAGTCTGGATAACCAGGGCTGAGAAATCTGCAAGGACCCGACTGAAGGGGATTTTAATTGAAAGTGACTCCCCAATACAGGTAGTGTGTGTGTGTGTGTGTGTGTGTGTGTGTGTGTGTGTGTCTCTAAGGTGCACTTTGACATATAGATGGCATCTGTCTGCTGTGTGATATTCATGCTTGCAGCCTTTTTCTTATTTGTCTTCTTCAGTGTCAAAAAGTTTATGATTTTAAGGATTCAGTTCAGGTTTTGTGTGTGTGTGTTGCTGAACCACATGCTATATATCTATATATATATATATATATATATATATATATATATAGATATATATGTGTGTGTATATATATGTGTGTATGTATATATGTGTATATATATGTGTGTATATGTGTGTATATATATGTGTATATATGTATGTGTGTATATATATGTGTATATATGTATGTGTGTATATATATGTGCATATATGTATGTGTGTATATATATGTGTATATATGTATGTGTGTATATATGTGTATATATATATATGTATATATATATATATGTGTGTGTGTAAAGCGTATAGCAGAGGATTCCTTAGTGACATACTGGAAATGGTGTTTTTTCATCACATACATTAAGTGAGCAGAACTTCAGGAATCAATGTATATTTAGAATTTATTAGTCTTGGATTCTGTTCAGTATTTCCCCAAAAAGTCTGATCTTATGAACACAGTTCGACTGCGTCTTTAGACTTCCTCAATATTCTGGAAAACAGCAGATGTTCCTTAAAACTCGTGGACCCCTGGCGAGCTGTGCTAGCTAAAATTAGGCAGGTGTACAACCATTAATTCAGTCTTTTTAAAGGATAGGTAACACAGTTATTTAATTAACTCAGCTAAATTAGGTCAAGCTTTTTGACTTAGAAAAAAACAAAACAACCTAGATTTAATCTTGGATCTGGCGCTTCCTAAAGTGGCACATATTTAGCCAGGTGTAAACGACCAAACAAATCTTTGAATTTCCTCCCATTTTGTTGCTTTCCTTCCTAAAATGTTTGCATTAGATTATTCAGCGTACGTTGACGTGAATGCACACACTCACAAAGAAACACTTCTTGCACATACATAAACAAGGTTTTTGGCATCATCCCACTAATCCACTTCTATTAGTATTCGTCTACTGACCTAACTTTGAATTCCAGACAGCGGGGAGTCGGTGTGATCCCTGAAAACTGCGTGTGTGCGCGTCTGTAATGGTAACATGCCAGTTTAGTCAGGACTGACACAATAAGGCTGCTGTGTCGACGCAAGACCTGTTTCTGTCGCTGAGCCTCAATCTTTAGCACTGCCAAGGGGCCTATTAGTGCTGCCTGTCTGTTTACGTGTGTGTGTGTGTGTGTGTGTGTGTGTGTGTGTGTGTGAGCGTGAATGAGTAAGTACCTTTTGCATACTAATGCATGCCAGGCTCAGTTGTGATGTGTTCCTGAGAGCATCCTAATGAGACCGGCCGGCGTTCCTGATTAATTTTATGAAGAAGCAGTGTGGTGCTAAATAATGTGAAGATAATGTTCCTTCATCAGAAAGAATCATGGAGCCACGACAGGAATTGAGCACATTATTTATGTGTCCATGTAATGAAATGGGGGGGGACATGTTGTGCTTTCAGTGATGAGATATAATGTTTAAAATAAACATTTCTTAAAGTGGAAAAGTTGTGTTTAGAAGCACCCAAGCAAATTTTATTCATAAAATCTGACTTTCAGTGTCATGTACCTTGCTTCTGTGGGGAAACCTATATACAGCGTGTGTACAAGCCTTATAAATTTGTACTCTACTGTGATCTGAAAGCTCCTGAGTATCTTCAAAGTACCGATGGGAGAAATAAAGTGAAAGAAGCAGGTCACAGTTTCTGCACTAGTGATTTATATTTATGTCTAATACAGAGCTGGTATAAAGAGCCAACAGTAAAGTTATTGTACATCACCGATGAAGCAGCAAAACCCTGCAGGGCAACGTGAGGAGATGTAGAGAGCTGGGAAAATGTGCCGTATGTTATAGTGAATGGGAAACCTACTCAAGCCCGGATCCCAGTGCTCCTTTTGACTTCCTACCAGGAAGTTTAGATAAGATGTCTTTATCTTTTGTTGGGAGTGAGAAGTGGAGGAGCTGATCAATGTAGCAACCAAAGTGTGAATAAAGTGTACTCGAAATAGAAAGGTGCTTTTTAAGTGTTAAAGTATTTATATAATACATCAGTATCTTAATGTTGTGAATGATAAAAGTTTATAAAACGTTTACTTTTATGTAGCTTAGCTCTTATGAAGGGATAATTCCACATAATATCAGTCCTATATGGCAGGCATAGGGCATTTGGAAATGTGTTTTTTGTGGTGTTTGTCAAAGTAGACAATCTTCATCTCTCCTAGAAATTACCTTTTTTATTGTTTTAGGTCACAAAATGTTCTGATCACTTAAACCAAACCACACTCAAGATTTCATTTTTGTCATTTTCTTGTGATAGGATTTATAAAGATGTCAGTAATAATTACTTTAAGAGCTTATTATTGAATGCACAGTCACAAGGAATGGTTTTACATGGCACTATAGGCTGCCCTGTTAAATATGTGCAGTAAATCCCTCCTCCATCCCTCTATCAGCTAATGGGTCCTCGGCCTGAAAAAGTTCAGTTCCCTTAGTTAATGTCTGCAAAATCACAAAATGCAAATATCCAACAAAATACCGCATTTTGGAGAAATAAAAGTTTAATTCCACCTGTTTATGTAATGTTACCCTTACAGTTCAACTTCTACACCTCGTTATTAACCAAACGCACTGCTGTATCATGAGTACGACACCAAAATTATACCCACAGACAGGATCAAAGTAGGAGAAAAATACAATTAATCTACGTTAATGACAAAATGCAGTTCTGATGTCAATGGCAACAATTAAAACTTTCCAGTAATCCAGAGAAAATAAACTACCTCATCACCTCCTAATGAATGAGAGTGAGCGGTCGTATTAATCTCTGTCTCATTTGCGCTGTTTTGCCAAGAAGTGGGGGCAGGATGAAAGGCTGAGGTTAATGATGAACAGCACATGGAGAAAACAAACGGGGAGCACCCATGGGAGAGAGGAGTATACACAATCGCATTAACCTCACAGCCGGGTGGAGAGGTAAGGGGGGAAGAAAAGGGAAAGCAGCGCGGAGAGCGGTGAGAGGTTTAAAAAATGATGAAAAAGTAAGTGAGATCTGGTGCGTGGGAGAGAAGAGTAAAAGGTAAAAACAAGCATCTGTTAGCTATCAGAGCACATTTCTTTGACTTTATCACTCAGGGTTTAAAACACACAAACCTTAAGTAAACACTAACAAACACACATTGTATAGGCTTTTAGCCAAAGGACAAAAATTTCATTCCATAATTTACTTTATTAAAAGCACCTGAAAGAACGGAGGACAAAGGTCTAAACAACAGTGCAGGAATATTACAGTTTCAGCAGGTGCTGCTTTGTACAGTGTCTCCCCCGATGGCAATTACTCCTCCTGGCAACATCTCCATCCTGTTTGATCCCCGGAGTTGAACTGCGTCTTTGAAAAACATTAGCGCCGTCTTACTAGGCGGAGATGGAAATGATGATTCTGGCTTTTATCTCGTCCTGGTTCTCGACTATTATTGTTCCCTCTTCACCTGCCTCAGCAGGATCGTTAACATGTGGGCCCAAAAATGCTGCTGCTTAGCTTTTGACCAGGTCCTCAAAAAAAGTCTCATTTCTTTTCACTGGTTCTATCAAATTCAAAATCCAGTTCAAGGTTCTTGTGATCACTGGTAGAGGTCTATACAGTCAGGCTCCGGCCTATAGAGCATAAGTTGTGTTATAGAGTATAAATGTAAGTATTTTTGGACTGGCCTTCCGAAACAATGGGCATTTGATTTTGAAATAACGTGCTGGCGGACAAAGGGGCTTTCCGTCCAGTGGGACATTTTCCAGACTATTGGGGTTTCGGGAATATCGGGCCGTCAGAACAATGGTATTGCACAACAGCGTGCTCAGTCAGACTTGTTTCTTAGTTTGAAAAGGGTCTTAATTTACCCAAAATTCATGGGAAATTAGTCCTACTTAAGATAGTCAAGAGCTAGATGGCTTTGTGCAACGGATAGTTTGATCAAAGCCATCATTGATTATCAGCTCTGGCTAGATAAAATGCGAACCCGGCAGAGGGATCTTCAATAGGCATCTGATGAACAGGATATCAGGCTAACTCAGTGCTGTGTAAGGAAGACTGAGACTAAAGCTAACGGGTCACAAGATAACAGGAAGTCCTCACCAGCTGATGATCCATGTAGACGATATAGAAACAGCATTGTTCTTGATATGGCAGAGTTAGCTGCCCTGTGTATTATAGTTCAGTATAAGAACACCATTTAGATGTTTACCATTGGAAGAGTTACTTGGACAAGCAGCACAAAGGTTCGTTTCTTGTTAGCATTTTAAAGAGAAGAGGCTTTGAGGGTGAGGTAAATCTCCTGTAACCCCAGATATGTGCTAACCTTTGGTCTTGGAAGTAACCTTTTGGTGCCCACATACCAGTCCATTATTATCTGCTGTGGTTGTGTTGAAATGACATAATATTAGAGAGTAATTGTGCTGCTTGAGGACTGTATGCAACAAGATCTGTGTGTGGATTTGCAAGCTTGAAGACATACATATGTCTGAGTTCAGTTCTGAGTTCAATGTACTCGCCTTACTTTTATTTTCTTATACGCTTTGCTTGTCATGTGGTTTGAATTGTCCTCCTTCCTTGTTCCTGGTATTGACTGCGGCCAAAAATATACAAAAGGGAAAAAGATCTGTACGTCTCGACCCTACTTCGATCTATGACAGTCATGGCAAGATGGTCCCCAACCAGCTCATTGTATCAAATCTCAAACGCACCATTGTTTTTTTCTTAGAGTTTGGTCTTGAACATTCGGACAAGTTATGTGTAGTTTTCCTCGATATTAACAAACACCTTATGTGTATGCTGCCGCAAACCACAAGCAGAGTTCTTTGGTCTATATTGGTCAAACATGTTGAAAACAATCAGATTAAATGTGGTTATA